TCTCTCTCTCTCTCTCTCTCTCTCTCTCTCTCTCTCTGTCTCTCTCTCTCCCTCTCTCTCTTTCTCTCTCTCTCTCGTTCTCTCTGTCTCTCTCTCTCTCTTTCTCTCTCACTCGCTCTCATCTCACACATGGGAGGAGAGTGAAGCGATTACTAGTGACATAGACTACCGGGCATGGCAATTGCGCGTGGGCCACACTAACCAGGCTGGCGGCGAAACAAATTGGACAAACAAATGACCGTCTGCAGACATGACGCATGCTAGTTTTACCAGACGGACAGGTTGCCATGGCAACACGACTTACAGCAGCTTTTCCAATTCCCATGATGGCACTCTAGACAGGAAAAGACGTCAAACAAACACAACTGAATACACGAGAATAAAACGGAATGCTACGGCTAGTAATTGTGATTAGGAAACATGTGGAAACCGCGTGGAAACCACGTAAGTCACCTGCTGCGTTGTTTGTCTGAAAACGCTAAGAAATATCGAATGTGTGCGTAACATGTTGTACCGCATTCTTGCACTCGGGAATGACTAATTTAATATTAAATTCATTCTGAAAGAAATGCGCTACACGCGAGGAAAACATGCCACAGAGACATATTTTTTCATATATCTTGACAAGGAGGAAAACGATTTTTTGTTCGCTATACGCGCGTTTTTTTACTTACAATTCTTACTTTATTCAACGTTCAATTTTATCACGAGCTGGTCTAGACTGGCTTCAATCCAAACAACCCTACAGCAGTTCACTCATGAGTTTCCTTACGTGGATTCCACATGCGTAGAATGTGTCAGACCACACAAGTCATGTCAAAATAATACAGTTAGACAGAGTGAGCGGTTGTAAATAGATGGAGAAACTACGACTAGTAATGTAGAAGATTGTGCCGACACACGCACGCACGCACGCACGCACGCACGCACGCACGCACGCACGCACACACGCACGCACGCACGCACGCACGCACGCACACACGCACGCACACGCACGCACACGTACACCCACACAAATAAATGTCACGTCGTTAGGAGACGCAGGTGAGTAACTAAAGCCGGGCTTAGGTCGGCCTTGCGACGCGACGCGATTGCCTTGCGACTGATTTTCGCAGCGACGATCTCGTCGCAGAGAAAGTTCGACCAAGCACCCCTGCGACTGCCAGCGACGGGTCTGCGACTGTCTGCGACTGCCAGCGACGGGTCTGCGACTGTCTGCGACTGTCAGCGACTGTCTGCGACTGTCAGCGACTGTCTGCGACTGCCAGCGACGGGTCTGCGACTGTCTGCGACTGCCAGCGACGGGTCTGCGACTGAAAAATTGTCAGTCGCAGCGACGGGACGAGACGTGACGCGACTGGTTCCACCGGTCGCAAGCATTGTTTTCCATGGTTACTACCCGACATAAGCTGCCTTGCGATCGCTGCGACAAGATTCGTATGCATAATGAACAATGCACGCGAATAAAACAATCACTGCATACTGTCATGTACACAACATGCACACAGCAACAAGTCATGTAAACTCATTTTTCATTTATTTGCGCGATCTATAGGCGATCGTCGCTTCGACCTAAGCGCCTTCTGCGACTGCCTGTGACTGTCGCTCTCAGTCGCGTCGCCGTCGACCTAAGCACTCAGTCGCAGTGAGTTACAGTGCGTCGCGTCGCGTCACATTCAATCGCAACCCGACCTAAGCCCGGCTTAACAGTACAACAGACTAAACACGTCACGCGCTCTCTCGCTCCCCCCATCACACACACGCACGCACGCACGCACGCACGCACGCACGCACGCACGCACGCACGCACGCACGCACGCACGCACGCACGCACGCACGCACACCACCACTCTACACTCGTCTCCCGACTAGCGAGCGAACGACGGTACCAACCATTTCGGCGAGGCCAGAGATGACCTTGCCGAGGGTCGTCAGCGACTTGTTGATGTTGGCGCCCTCTTTAAGCCGCGTTCCCTTCGCACCGGTCGAGTCGGCGCGCTCGCTGCCCGCCAGGTCAACCAGGCTGATCTTGCTGACCTGTTGATGACGTCAGAGGGCAAAGGTCACGACACGTTGTACCTACAGATCTGGCCAGGGTGTTCCTACGAGTTTTAACACGGAGATTTTACAAGGGGCGAGGGGTCGTGGGGGTGAGCATGGCGATTATAAGGGGGGGGGAGTGTGGTCCTGGGGCAGGGAGGTGGACGCACGCGTGTGTACCTTCTCTGTGGTGAGATTCGTCTGCTTGTCGTATCTGTTCTGTGAGAAGACGATGGTGAAAACCGCGTGAGATCTGCTGCTCGTCTCGTTCATGTTTGTCGCCGCCACCGTCCTGAAACACACGCGCAAACAACGCCGAAGTTATCCTCACGAGAAAACTGTGCTGGTGAAACTACGTTAGACAACAGCAGTGACTTTGCCGGGGTGTAGAACCATCTTAGATACAAGCAGAATAGTGGCGGTTGGCAGGGAGACAGAAGAGTTTCCGCATAATGGAGACACCCCCCCTCCTCCTCCCTAACGCGCTCACAGCGCCTTCTCACTATGAATTATCTCTAACAATCTTCTAAAATATTCAGCAGTGCTTTAGAACTCGCTGTGAATAATAGCAGGAGTATTGATGTGAGCCGCAGCGGCACGAGGCCGTAAGCACGGGCAACTAGATAGTTTTCAGACTCTCGTCTCGGTGGTGATGGCACGCCATGCAATTACCGATCGCTCAGTCGCTCGCCCCGCGAAATGTTGATTACGGTTGGCCGGTGTCGGCTAACGCACCGAATTAAACACCGCAGATAGAAGTATAATGGATTACACGGCAGACATCTTCGTACCCGTCAAAATTACAGAGTGCGAGATGGGGCAGAATTAATACACGTAGAGGAGGGGGGATATCAAGGGCAGGCCCATGGAGACCTTACCCCGCGAGCGCCTCTGCCGTCGGTCGTCGTCCGATCATACACACGCGAACTAACAGGTCTGATTAGACCTGAATTCAATGTACTGCACACCTCACAACGTTTCCTCTGCTGGAGGTGGATCAATGTGAACAGTGCAGGAGGCCACCACGGGAACGACATTGTGAGTTCACTTAAACGTGAAGGGCATTTACGTGGTTAGACAATGACAGCGTTGACAGCATTGACATCTGTGATGCCAGTGATGACAGCGATGACAGCGATGACATCACGTGCACGCGTCAGAGATAGAAGGAAGCCTAAAGAAGGTTTCTTCACCTTGAGTTGATTCTCTAGAGTTTGTTAACGACAATGTTGTTCTCTAAGGTTTGCTGAGTTCAAGTCTGTGAAGTTTGTTCTCTACAGAAGTTGTCTCTACAGAGATTTGTCTCCAAAGTTTGGTCGATACAGAGATTTTCACTAGAGAACTTGTTCTCCAGATAGTTTGCTCTTTACGGATATTGTCCTCCCTCTACAATTTGATATCTATAGTATATTCTCTACAGAACCTTTTGACTCTCCATGGTTTGTCCTCCAACTATTTAATACGTTATTAATATTCCTATACAATACAAGTTTGATCGCCACAAAATTTGTTGTCTGCAGAGTTTATGCTTTACAGTTTGTCCCCTATACAGTTTCAACTCTGTTCCACCCACCTTGACTTGTTTCCCTCGTCCATGAGATCGTAGATGTCCTGGTAGTTCTGCACGGCTAGCTTGGATAGATCCTCGACGTACGGTCCCAGCACAGGGTGTTCGCGAACACGCAGGTTGTTCTTGTGCTTGGGGTTCAGCAGATCGCGAACCCTCTCACAGTAGATCTCCATGTAAGACACCTACGGAACACACGCACACACAGGGAGAGAGAGGTTAGATGGTGATGAGTATAGTGACACAGGTGAGACAGAAACAAGGTTCAATGTTCCGAGTGCTGAGCTAAACTAATAGCAGTCATTAATTGCACCGCACGGCGAATTTACTCGATATTATTAAGTGCTGATAATGTGTAACAGCGGCGCAGACACAGGTTGAATGGCAGTATGCAAAGTTACACTGCAAACACCCCGTTGCAACACCGAGTTAAACTAATACAGATAGTAATTTCATCTCATAACATGACAAAGGTGCCGATATCTCTAGACAAACGGAACAGTACAGAAAGTTGAATGTTAAACAAATTGTCTCGCGGACCGCCGCGCGCGTACCTCGACTGAGTAGGCGAGGTCCGTGTCGCTGTTCCCCTCTATCCTGTTGAAGAGATCCTCGCAGATGCGGGGGATGATTCCCTGCTGACCGGGATCCTTGCCTCCCATCATCGTGTAGCTCTTCCCCGACCCCGTCTGCCCGTAGGCGAATATGCACACGTTGTACCTGTACGCAGGTGAGAGAGACATGCACACGTTGTACCTGTACGCAGGTGAGAGAGACGCATCGTCTATTATTAATTACTCTCTCGAGTTGATCGCTCTTACCAGCTAAGGAGTACATACACACACTCACACACACACGCACGCACGCACGCACATACACACACTCACACACACACGCACGCACGCATGCATGTACGCACACACATACACACACTCACACACACACACGCACACACATACACTCACACACACACGCACGCACGCATGCATGTACGCACGCACGTACACACACTCACACACACACACGCACGCACGCATGCATGTACGCACGCACATACACACACTCACACACACACACGCACGCACGCATGCATGTACGCACACACATACACACACTCACACACACACGCACACATGCATGCATGTACACACGCACATACATACACTCACACACACACGCACGCACGCATGCATGTACGCACGCACATACACACACTCACACACACACGCACACATGCATGCATGTACACACGCACATACACACACTCACACACACACACGCACACACATACACTCACACACACACGCACGCACGCATGCATGTACGCACACACATACACACACTC